GTAGAATATGACATTATTACAGAAGGCCACTAATATAATATTTTTATAATTTATACAAAATGTGCGTAATATAATAAATATAACACGAACGATTTCATGACGATGCGAATTGATAATACGAAATTAAATTTACTTAAAGGCTTAATTCACTGATGATTTCATTATCTAGATGTAAATACAAATAACTGGTCATAAATGTCTATTTAACCTTAACCACCTATACATAAATTACTGATTACTTTCCATGACTGCTTAAAGTATCAGTTTTCTCTCGCCAGGCATAATATTTAACACGATCTATAGTGGATTTCAAAGAATTAGTGGTGCATTCAATGGACCCCTCCGTAAATTAACTTCTGCCTGTCTTAATCTGATAAACTCCCTAAATCCGGCTGCTAGGCAAACGTACGGCGTACAGAAGTGCATTCACATATTATACACGGTAAATTCCAAATTAGCCAATACCGCATTTCGCGTAGTCACACTGTGAAACTTTAGCTCGGTCAATAAAATAGATGATAAATCGCGTTTTACATTTTGACTGTGATATACCTGATGATTTTTAATTCGAAACCGGTCGTATAATACTCCACGCGATGTATTCATTCATTTGTTTATTTATATATTTATTTACTATATTTAGATGATAAATATATTTTAGGTGTGTTTAATGTTTTAAATATCTTTGATTCTAGAATGTAAAAGTACGTAAGTGAACATATTATAAAATCGAATTTATAAATAACTAAAATATTCAGGACATAATTTAGTTGCATAATTTATGTTTTAGATTCTGAGCATAGCAAGGATTGTATTGGTTTTACTGAGTTTTAGGGGAAAAAAAAACAAGTGAAAAAAAGCAATTATATATTATAATATAAAAAGTAGTATTATTGGTTAGTTCTACATATTATATAGTAGGTACAGTATAGATATAATAGGTACCTACACCATATTTTAATACCATTGACTATAATATAATATATTCAATGATAATATTTTAAACGTTTTCACAAAAATAATTATCGGAGCCAGTATCAAAATCTACAGTCCATAACAGAATTTAAAAAATGACTACTATTGTAGTGTAAGTATAAAATATACAAAAATCAACTTAAAATAAATCTATAGGTTTCAATAACTTGTTCCAATAATTATTTTTGTGAAAACGTTTAAAATATTATCATTGAATATATAATAAAGTCAATAGTACTAAAATATGGTGTAGGTACCTGGTACCTGTTATATAGTACTATATTATATGTAGTATTAATCAATGATAATAATTTTTATATTATAATATATGAAATCAATTTATTGCTTTTTTTTCCACTTGCTTTTTTTCCGTTGCTTTCTTTTCATTTACTTTTTTTTTCTAGCCTCGTTTTCACTACGATATTATGTGCTTTTTCAATATAATTTTTTCTGTAATCAAGTTTTTTATCAGAAATCTCAACTCCGATCCTCAAGGGTGGAAAGGCAAATGTGACTGCAGGGAGTCAGGTTAGCCTGACGTCACATTCGCTTGTTAGTCCGGGAAAATGTGACGTCGGGAAATCTGACACTACGGCAATTGAATTAAATTGTATTATTTAGATGCCGGCGAACAGAAACACAGGCAATGGAGAGATTACAATAAATACCCAAGGTGCTAATTAGATAATTAATTCGATTTACCGCTTTTGAGTACAATAAATATTGATTTAGTTTACATTACTATTGTCAAAATTAGAAATTTAAAGTGCTTATAAACTAATATAATAATCTGCATTGTGAATAAAAAATATTTAGTATTCCAATAAATAATAAAAATGGTATAATCAATAGGTAAGGAAATAAAAAATAAATTGGACATTATATAATAATTTTTAACATACATATAAATTCAATTCAATTACTATGCAGTCAGATTTGCCCGGGTGTCACATTTACCCGGACTAACGGGCGAATGTAACGTCGGGCTAATCCAAGTCACCGCAGTCACATTTGCCTGGTACACCGGCACTCCTAGAGAATTCTATTTTTATCATCTTTTGTTTTTGTTATTGTTATTTGCGTTATTCTAATATTATTTTGTATACGTTAAAATACCTATTATATTGTGTTTTACTATAGTAATAAATAAATACATAGTTAAATAAATAATATTTAATGTTTTAATAGAATTAATTCTTCATCATTTCGGCGGTAAGGATTTTTGACGTGTACCTATAGGTACTATAATATAATATAATATAATAATACAATTTTCCATAGAAATTAGTATGGGAAATGATTGAACATTTTTACTATTTTAGAACTTACATAATTGTTTTTTTCCTATTTTTAATATAGGTATATCATGTTAATATTAAATAACTTGTAGGTATCACCATAGATTTCGTAGAAAATCAAAACAGTTCCGAGCTCGTCAGTCTACATATTTGATATAGAAAATCCCATTATTTTATATGAATCATAAAATGGACTCCTTTGCTGATTGTACCCTGTCGATTTTTATTCGAAACATTTATGAAATGCATAGCCGTAGTAAATGGTATTTCTTTCATAATTTTTTAATATACGAATTAGACATCGATAAAATGTGTGAACAAATTAACAATCGTCCGCATATTTATGTTTCGTAACTGTTTTCCAATGTGCCAGATCCTATCACTACGTCATTTTTTTTTTATCTGTAAACAACTTTTTACCAGCAATGATTTACAATGATAGCACATTTTCTGAAGGGAAATTTGACTGGGGAGTTACTTTAGGAAGGTCATTTTTTGATTTTCTCAGGAATTTCTCAGTATATTGGATAAACCAGAAAAAAACGGGAAAAACATTTAATACATATGTAATTATTTTACCATAATATGACATAAATATTGTTGACAAAGCAACACTATCAACTGAACTCCGCTCAGAATCGTTTTTCGTTAGAAATGGTTTATTGTTACTTACAGATATATATTAAAGTCCCGTCTGTATATTACCTTCTCAACATCCACCCACAACAGTGGCTGCACCCACGTGCGAAGTATGTCCGTCTCATTTTTTTTTGGTTTGTTTTTGGACGAAATGCACTGAATTTTATAAATAGGAATAGTAAGTTGTCGATGGATTTTTCATGTACATAAATTATTCCGGTGTATAATAGCTCACTTAAATATTCAAAGTTTTTAAACAATCGTCTTAGTGAGTCGTTTGTGACCTTTTTAATTAAGTGTATCATTTAATTTCAAACTTAGTATTTGCATTTATACGCAATAATATGTTGATTTAAACGTTAATTTATTTTTGTGAACGGTTAGTTGAATAAAACTTAGTTTCTTTTTTGTATTGTTTAATGGATTCATATATTATATTAAATACCTATACGCAAATCATGATTTTTATAATGACTTAAGAAAATACTAACAACAAATATAAATAACACCACGGATTTAGTTATTACATTTCAATGTTATAATTAATATGTAATTTTTGCTTTATTTTAGATTGTAGAAGTAAGTTCATATTATATTATTATAACATTATTTTTCTAAGTTCTTCAAGAATTTACCTATCTATACGGTATTTATTGAGTTTTACAACTATACACAAAAATAAAGCCGTCGGATTTTTCTTTCCAAAACAATCAGTTTTCTTTTCTTCATCTTCTTTAATGGAAACGGTTCTACTCTATACGTAAAAAACTACGGACCGTAATAGCGTGGTTACTTTCTTAATTCTCTCGACAGATTGACGGAAATTAAAAATTTCATCACTAAAATGTATTTTAACTGATTCTCCATCGACTTATGGAATTTTTTAGTGTAGGTTGCCATTTGAAAATCAAAAGTAGGTAGTGGTTTTACACTCAAAAATAAGGATGACAAAAAAATAACATAAATATAAAATTGTAAAGCAACTTGTTTCATAAATGTTCTAGAAAACAAATTCCGGAAAAAGTTAATACTTTCTGAGATATTAGTGTACCCATTTAATTTAATCACCTAGTACTCAGTTTTGTCTCCATTTAGATGTAGTGTCGTAAGCCATCTTTTCTCGTTGCTTCCTCTAGTCAGCTGAATGACTTAGTGATATTAAGCTATTATGTGATTTTTCCATAATAGCTAAATCGCCCACGTACAATAATAATGCCATGAAATACATCTGAAGTTTCACTCCTTCTTGAGGTCCAATATTAATTTCCCTGATAATTTTCTCTAATAATCTAATAAATAAATAAAACAGGTGACAACTCTTTTAGGTTTCTGTATTTTCCACTTTTATTTTAATGAACATTTCCATAACACTTATTTCAATTAGTTTTATTAAATTTCGTAAGAAGTTTTATTCCCTAAGAATATCGATCAAGTTACATAACCCGGAGTAAATTTTCTAACTCCGTAACTTGGCCTAGACATTTTCAAAGTACTTACCGTCACTACATTTTTGATAAATAAGTGTCGTATGTCTTTTTTGAATAGATAAATAGTACATTTGTCTCTGTACGTGGTGTTTTTGAAAAGCTGTCCGAGAATAAATATTTGGTTAACCTTTGACCTTTCTGATTTAATACCTCCTTGCAGATAACTACCAATGAATTATTTTAACTTTGTTGTTAAACTTGATAGGATTCAATTTGAGATGAATCTGTATGCTACTTTTAAAAGAGAAATTCCTTGATTGTTATTCTAATTTTGCTTATTCGATTTTTTGAGACACACCACTTCCGTTTTTCATTCTTTTGATATCTTTTCATTTGTCCAGATTTGGATAATAAACTTCCACTTATAAGTATAATTTCTTCACCTATTTTTTAGAAGTTTTGTTTGGGTTTAATTTTCACCAGGTGGCTTATGATTTATTCTTTTATAACATAAAACACATAAATCTTAGCTCATAAAAAAAAAGTGTAAATAACAATAATGATGTATTAAAATTTTGCTTGGACCTAAAACATGTTTATATGTAATATATAATTATTAGATCTATATTTTTTTATTTAAATGCGAATTACATAGATTGTGTTTTACAGAAGAAACGAGCTCTATTTTCAACAGTAAGTGCTTATTAGAAACATCTAAAAGTAATAAATTATTTCTATGAAAAATTATGTCAATCGTAATTTTTCTTGGGATATTTAAGTGTCTTATAAATTATTTTACAGTTTATAAAAATCTATTTAATAATATGTCAACCTCTTTGTTTTAAGCATTCTAAAATATATGCGCAAACACGTATCAGATTTTCAGTAGGACTTTTTCGATTTTCTCTAGTTTGTTTTCTCATAAAATACGAAAAACTGAAAAAAAACTGGAATATGTACAAAATATATTGCTAAAATATTACGATTTTTTTTTCTTGTGTATAACTTTTTTACCAGCAATTTTACTCCAACTTATAATAAAAGCAATGTTTCTAAAAGGAAATTTCACTATGGAAGTATTTAAAACAGATCATTTTCCGATTTTCCTAAGAGTTTTTCCAGCAAATATGAAAAAAACGGGAAAACCGTAGGATAACTGGTAAAATCAGTACAACATTAAACAAATATTATTAAAGAAAATATATAAAGTCTATTTAATTATTTTACTATTATATGACATATATTGTTGACAAAGCATCATTATCAACTGAACTCAGCTCAGAATTGTTTTTTCGTTAGCAATGACAAACCTTTGCTAACATTACAAAGCATCCCTATCAACTCAGAATGGGTTTTTCATTAGCAATGGTTTATCGTTGCTTACAAGCATACATTAAATTATCTATAACAGTGGCTGCACCCATCCCCATTATCCTAGGACGTCTTTTTTTAGCTTTATTCTTATTTAATTATAGTTACTGTAATCTCTGTAACTACTGTAACTGTATATTGTTACATAATTATAAGGATTTTTCACAATTTATTTCATCTTATATTTTGATTCCAATATAATTAAATTTTTTTAAAGCACTGCAACATTGTCAAAATAAATAGGGCATCATATGTATTTTCAAAATTTCGGTACTCAAACCAAAAAAATTATTATCTTATTATCAGTTTTTCGATAGTTTCTATACTAGAATTCATATTTTTTTTTATGTTTATCTGTGTACTCGTCACTAATAAATAAAACATGTTAACTTTAACGCTATAGATTCTGAAAAAAAAAAATACTACCTAAACTCGATTACTGTTGAACTGTAAATTTTGAATCTGTTATCTCTTATTTAGATAGAGCTGAAAATATGTTTGTTATCTAACGAAATGAGTGGCACTAAAACTAATGTTCGTAGTTATATTTTATTGAAATATGAAAAAAAAATCAACAAAAGTAAACGGTCGATCCTTAAACGCATTATAATTAGTTTGGCAACAATGAAACATACATGCTCTCATTAAAGATAATATAAATAACTCGAAAAAATATTATTTAATCTAAAGTTTTGTATTTAATTATTAGAAACTGGAGGCGCATTGCTGTGCGCGTATCACGCGTGGGAAAATTTAAGTAAGTAAAATGCGTCTAAAAGATTCTAAATTCATCTGAAAGATCTAAGATAATAATCGAGTTGAATTAGATAAGTGATTTTTGTTTGAATTTAATACGAGTAGTCAAGGGTGTATATAGAAAAACATTTCAGGGTAGGGGAGAGATGAGAGTTTGAAAAAATAAGAATAATGTCGTTAGTTTTTAATAATTGTTTGTTATATTTTTAATAATTCTATGTTTGAAATAACTTATGTCGTATTTTTCTAGCCTATAAAGAACTTTCAGGTAAGTTTATAAATATTAATTTACACTCTTGAGTGAATTACAATCATACTGAATTTAATGGGTACATAAAAATTATAATTTTTTTTACCTGTACATTAGATTCTGAGCGTAGCGAGGAATGTGTTGGTCTTACAATGATGTTATTTTTTTGTGTCTGTTAACAGCTATTCTTCTTTATTTAATCATAGGTTCATTATAAATTGTACTTAGTGGTTAAAAAAAAGAAGTTCGGCTGAATCTCAACTAGTAGTTTTTTTTTTTATATGTGGTTAAGGGTAGAATTTTGAAATTTTTGGTTTTTTTTTTTAGATTATTCAAAAGACTACTTTGAATATTTGTATAGTTTCATTAAAGAAGGTAATGGATTTATTATTATTAGCAGTAAGGACCAAAAAAAAAAAATTTGTTATATCACGGCAATATTATTTTGTCCAAATACATGTACTTTAGATTCTGAACATACCGATTTAATCGTATTATTGACTACATGTAGGAACGCAGTGTTATACTTGTTATCCATGGTTGAAATACACTAGGTTATTGCCTATTGGAATTGTATTTCAACTTTAATATTTTATCCGAACATTGTTAAATCTTAGTAGTGGGAACTACAATAGAAAAACGAGGGTAATTTAAACGATTTTCGTAATGCTGACTGTGCTATATTTATTGTACAGCAAACAGCGGTGACCGATAAGTCTCATAAAATAGTCATAATAATAATAATGATAATCATGAAAATAATAAATTATAACAATAAATGGAATTACGGTATCTATATGTAACACCTTCCTTCCTTTGAAAACAGCAAAAACACGAGTATTAAATAGGATTACAAAACGATAAATATTAAAATATACAAATGAAAATAATTTTAAACATAACATAGTAAAACAGGTATAATATTATATTCGTAATAACAAAATTGTACAGTTATAAATTACCTAATAAATTATTACCTAGTTTGTATTATAATAACAATATTATATTATTTATCACAGTGTTTATGTCTTCGTATACTGGTACAATTATTAGTGATAACAAATTTTTTTGTAAAATAACAAAATGAGCATTTTAGAATATAAATTATATGAAATAAACTACATCTACGAGTATGTATATTAGATGTGCTAAAAAAAAAATCATGGGGTACATTTGTATACCCTTGCATCCCGCAAATGACGCCCCTGCTATTAAAATCTAGTTTATTATTTATATCTGTGAATAAATGGGAATTACGGTATGTAAACATACCATTAAAACGGCAGCTTAAGGAAATGAATTGATCATGAATCAGTGCCATCACTTTGATAATGTTGAACTATATAGAAATCTTTGATGTACCCTTTCATTGCCATTTTTTTATATATATTTTTTATCATCACCTATTTAATAACAGTCTAGGGTCTGATTTACAAATTTTGGGGCCAGAGACTTTGATAAAAAGTGGTTTTGTATAAAGTTATTAGTTATTTTATTCAAAAATGTTTATTTTATTTTAAAATGTATGAATTGAGTCATAAAATGTAAGACTAGACTACATAGATTTTTTTCTAGTGTCTCTCGCAAACTCATCAATGATATCATCATACGATAATTTTATTGTTATTTCATGTTCAACTGTAAATAATATCAGATTATTTAGCCTACAGGCTAAATAAACCACAAAACAAATTAATTACTCATTTTTCTAAAATGAATAATGTAGGTACACATAACTGACAAAAAATTCTGTAGATATGTACTTATTATTCAACTATATATTCAACTACCTATTTGTTACTTGTTATTTTAACATTAAAATAAAAAATGTACCTAATATAATTTTATTTTTAATGAATATTAGGCGAAGCACACAAGCCGCATAATTACTGTAAAAAATATGCAGGTTCGTAAAAAAAAAACTAAAGCCCTATAGTAGATAGACATGATGACAGTAAACGCGCCACACCCACTTGTAGTTCACCTAATATCATTAGATGTAATATTTTGCCGCCAAAATACAAATTAACTATAGTAAGTACCATAGATTAAAATTTATTAATGTGTATACAGAGAAATTTTTTTATACCATGAACCAAACATTTTCTGGGAGCATTTTAAGTGAATTTGATTTTTGTTTTTTTTTTTTTTTTAACTATTGTCGAGTCGTTTATCCTTTATTTTAAAACCATTTTTTATTTTTACCTCTATATACCTATTCTAGTATATATTTTTGTTTTTCAAATAGGAAGCCCATTTTTGAACAGTTTTGAACAGAAGTTATTAGTTTATTATTTAAAAAGACGGATGTACTTCGCACGATGAATGGGCCACTGTTGTAGGTGAGAAGTTGGGAAGGAATGATATAGAGGGGAATTTAATTTATATTTGTACGCAAAAATTAACCATTGCTAATAAAAAACGATTTGGAGCGAAGTTTCTTTTATACATGTACATGCATTTTATCGTTTTTCCTACGTTTTTCTCGATTTTTCCCAATTATTATCAAACCACTTGGAAAATGATCATCTTAAAGTACCGCCCAGGTATAATTTACTTTAAGAAAAGGTACTAAACTTGAAAATCGGAGCAAGATTTCTGCTAGAAAAGTTGTTTATAATGTAAAAAAAAAAAATTCTAAAATAATTAAAATATGCTAATAATAACAATTATACATTTAATATTCGGAGTCTAGTGTGAAGCTCACTCTAATATGTGTATCTATACCCTAAATAATTAACAGACGCTATAAAATTTGAGTCCTGATAATGAACTATAAATCCGCAAAATACTTGATAAAAAACTATAAATAGTTAACCAAATACAAATTATGTACACAGGTTTCATTAAGGTTACGTCATTATATTTATAAAATATAATAATTTATCTTTGTAAAACTACAGAAATTACAAAACACGGGTAATGTAATACGTGCCATGTTTTAATTTATTATAGGCATTAATGTACACGATAATTTACAATTAGGTTCGTAAAATAATACTTAGTTTTATTGTAATATTACAGTTATATCATATAGCATATTATGCAGTTATAATTCGTTTCTTAAAATTTAAGCGAATATAATTGTAACCCATATGTTCATAATTATTGTATAACGTCAATATCATTACATTATATTATTTAATGTTTACACAATATATACTATACAATATTCATATTTCATTTTTAGCGCCAAGTGCTTCAACTTCGACTCAGGATAAACTACTAGCAGGTAAGATTATAAATTAATACAGGATAATACAGTATATTCCATATAATGTACATACATGGTGATCATTTATGATTTTTCATGCAAATTTTAAGTAAATTTGATTTCAGTTTTTTAAATCATTGCGCATATATGAAATCGTTTAACTTAATGTCATAATACTTTTTTTTCTTAACTTTGTATCACTAATGGCCTAATCCCTATAATTTAAATGAGTATACATTTTTGATTTACAAATTATTTCTAAACGCAGAATCTTATAGAGAATATTTTCTAAAACATTCCAAAATCTGATTAAAAAATTTGTCTTAGGATAATGGGAAAGGGTGCAGCCACCGTCATAGGTGGAAAGTTGGGAAAGTAAGATACGGAAGAGAATTTAATGTATATCAGTAAGCAACGATAAACCGTTGGTAACGAAAAACCTATTCTGAGTTGATAGGGATGCTTTTTCAACAATTTATATGTTATATTATGGAAAAATAATTAAATAGAAATTATATATTTTCTTTAATAATATTTGTTGAATAATGATCTGAGTTTCTTGTTTTCCTTCGTTTTTCCCGGTTTTTCGTATTTTTTAGAAAACTCTTGGGAAAATCAAAAAATGAATTCTTAAAAGTATCACCCCAAGAAAATTCCCTTTCAGCTTTCTAGTGAAAAAAAATGTTAAAAAAAAGAAAAGAAAAATTAAACATCTTTGTAAATTCAATACATTCTTTTTTCCACTTAGAATTTAAAAATTGTAACTACTCATTTTTAAAATAACGTGTAAAGAATTTTCAAGCATTTTTACGAAGTTAATAAATTTACATACACATAAAACTAAAGAAAAATTCGAACATTTTGAATAAATAAAAAAAGCTAGAATATTGTTAAAACTACTTAAGTTTAGAAATTTCATATCGCTAACGATAAATTTTCACTGAATGAAGTTCAAGTAAATCCAATCAACGAAAACCATTTTTTGGTAAATATTCTCGTTTTTCCTACTTTTTTTTCTTAATATTAAGATAAGTACAAGGAAAAACAAAAACCGATGTTCTCAATGTACTAAAAAGACAACATTTTTTTAATAAACCACCTTAGAAATTGATGATTAAAGTAGTATTTTTGGTCGACAAATTAGTTATGCAATGGTGGAAAAGAAAGCTGCGCTTTATATCTGAAACGTATGTTATACTAGTTATTAATGTGTATAATATATGTACAAATAAAAAAATATGTTGCACATTGTTCTCGTTTGTGACTTGAATATTATTCAAAATTTGCTTAGTGTTATAATATTTATGTACTACGGGATGTTAAGAAAAATAATTTTATGTTTATAATTTACGCATTTTTATTTTGGGAGACATTTATCCTTGACCTATTGTTACGCTGCACGATATTTATGATAGTAATTAGTTGTATTCAGTTATGATGCTGCACGTTTTAAAATCAAAATGAACTATAGCAAATCATAAATAGTTGTTATTTCCTTTTGAATTAAAACCATTTTATTTTGAAATTTAGATTGTGTAGGTAAGTAAAATTTATACTCAACAAATATGCTATCATATTATAGCAATATTTAGGAAATTTAATACAAGTATAATATTTAATTTTTTAGATTATAGAAAAAAAAAATTATACCCAATGTATAGGTATATGATATAAGATTCCCTGGGCCCATTAATTTTAATGAAATATCACGTAAATATTTTTTCGTCGAGTTTAATATGAAATTTAATAATAGCTGATTTGAAACGGGGCAATTTCGCACGTAAGTAATTAATTTATAACAATAAGTAGATGAAATATCGTTAGATACGGTTTTTGATTTATCTTCTAAATTTTAGCACCTAATATGTAATATTTTGCCCACGTTGTAATAAACATTGATAAACAGAAATGTCTATAGATATTTAAGAATTTATTGCAACTCTTGTACACAATTTTTTGTTATAACGGTATTTTTAAAATTTTTTTAGACTTTAGGGTTTCATATGCTATCAAACATGCTTATTATAGCACAAGTAAGTAAAATATTATACTCTCCACATCTCTTTAATCCAGTGGCGGTTTTGATAAAACATCAAGCGAGGGATTTTACATTTTTTGGGCACCAAACCATAATAATATATTATATAAAATAAAGGATAAAATTTGTTTATAGTCTTATCATAATTTACAAGTCATAACTTTCATTTTAGATTCTTATTGAGTGAACAAACTTATGGTTTTACAACTGTTTTATCTGTGGACAACTTTTCTACTAGAAATCTTGCTTCGATGTATACAATATAGAAACTTTTCTTGAAAGAAATTTTGTCGGGAAGGTACTTTAAGAAAATCATTTTTCGATTTTCTCCGGAATTTTCTCCACAAGTGTGAAAAGCTGAAAAAACGGGAAAATGTACGTTATATAATAGTACAATATTAAGGTTTTTTTTTTTCTGTGACCAACTATTTAATCAGCAATTTGTCTCCAGTTTACAATGATAGCACTTTTTCTGAAAGGAAATCTTACTAGGGAAGTACTTTAGGAAGATCATTTTTCGATTTTCTTAAGAATTTTCCCAACAAATATGAAAAACCGAGAAAAACATTGGAAAACCGAGAAAAACGAGAAATAGGGTACTATATTAAACAAATATGAATGCCTATTCAATTGTTTTACCATAATATAACATATATTACATATATTACATATATAGTTGACAACACTATTAACTTAATTCCAGACTTAACTTAACTCAGAATCGTTTTTTCGTTTGTAATGGTTTATCGTTGCCTAAGTACAGAACATACTTAACAGTTGACAAAAAAAAAGGTTCAGGGGGGGGAATCACCCCCATCACCATGTCTCCCTAAAAACCGCCACTGCTTTAACTATTGAAATATTTTTTATAATGCCATATAACAAAAGAACTATTGTTTTTTATTGTAATTTCACGGACAATGAAAAAATTTAAAAAAAACGCTGATACTGGGGATGGGTGTGCTATTGTTTTTGGTGGGATGTTGGGAAGGTAGGATCATAAAGTTATTTAATTTAAATCTATAAGCAACAATAAAGAATTGTTAGTAATAAACGATTCAAAGCGAAATTCGGTTTTACATTTTTTGAAATACGGTAATTTTTAAAATATAAATATGTGATCAAATATATTTTTATGTAATAATATCAAATAGGTATATGTCAAAATAATATAATCTTAAAATGCTTATAAAAATAAAACTATCTCATAGGTTTTTCTCGCTCAAATTTGTTTTTGATTTCTAACTACAACTTATAATAATAATTATCTATAAAAACCAAATTTTTTCCTTCAAATTGGAACCCTAATTATGACATTAAACAAACAGATTAAATAATTTTTTTCTTTTTCACCGGAAATATTAGTTTTACTATGATGTGTACAATTTCATAATCTATTTGTTTTTTATTTTATTTTTCCTATTTGTGAACAATTATTCTACCAAAATCTAGCTCCAATCGAAAAATGACGATTTATTTTATTGAATTTGAACTCCATTGGTGGAATAACTTTTTATATGTTTTTTATAATAATTTGGGGAAAAACGTATAGGAAAGTAATATAAATATTTACGATACAATATTTCTTTATTTTTAAATATTTACTTCGTTTACTAGATATCTCGTAACAATTTTTAAGAATATTGTATATATTATAACGCCACTACGATGAACTGTCTCGTGATAAAGTGTCTGTAAACCATTTTATACAGGGGTTAAATTTGGCAAGTCCATTTTCGAGGTACATACAAACCCGTTCATCCACTTATCCTCTTCTGTATGCAAAATTGTTAAACCTCTGAACATGATGAATTCGGATGTGAATCACGCACAAATAAACAAATACGTTTATTAATATATTCTATAGTATTATATCTGATTATAACACATTGATAAATAATAATGTTAAGAGCATATATGTAACTCTTAGTATAAAGTCCTATAAATCAATATTTTGAAATAACCTAGGTATATATTATGTACAGTGTGATCAATCCTCGATAAGACATTCATTATTTCAGAAAGTATTAACTTTTTTGGACAGTTTAAGTAACATGTAGCTTTAAAATGTTACGTTACTATTATTTTTTGAACATTTGTTTTTGGAAATAAAACCACTGTTCACTTAAGGAGAGAGTAGTGGTGCTTCAATCAAATACTGCATACTGTGACCCTATACACAAATAATAGTCCACTACTCTCTGCTTACCCAAACCTAAAAATTAAATATCTTGTTAATGAGTTGACGGAAATTAAAAATGGCAATAATAAATGTAATTTGAACTAGAACGACATTTATGCTTTGAGTGTTTTATACGGGATGTCCCATAAAGATATAACCATTGTAATATCTCCGGATATAATAAAGATAATTAAATTCTGTTTTTTTCTTCTATAATACACATAGGGATAAAGACTACAAATAATTATTTGTCAATTAATTTTTTTTTATGTTTCATAAAATTTTTTAAAAATAACTTATTATTTTATTATTTTTGAAAATTTTGAATTTATGGAGTTTATTCTTCTAAAAATGTTGACGTATGAACTTTTTATTTTCACTAAATTCGTGATTTTTAATCATTTATTAAATTTTTTTACCAAAACATAAAAATTTGATTAAAATATAAACATTTTTAGTCTTTATCCTTGTGTATATATATAAAACAGAATTTGATTATCATTATTATATTATTATCTCCGGAGATATTACAATATGATATCGTCGTGGGACACTATACGTATAGGTGGCCATTTAAAATTAAAAGTGAGTAGTGGTTTCACTCCCAAAAATAAGAGTAACAATAACTAACAGTATCATTTTAGAGCAACTTGTTTTATAAAATGTTCAACAAATAATTCTAAAAAAGTTAATAATTTCTAAGATAATGCTTGTCTTGTCAAGGATTGATCATCATTTACTAAAAAAATCTTAGAACAGATTGTCTATTTACAAATTTAAGAACAAAACATATATATATATATATATATATATATTTATTTTAGAACTATTGGATTACTCATTACAATGTAAGTTAATATTGAATTAATATTTATTATTTAATGAAGTTTAGTCACAAGCATACTGTAGTCTAAAACGCTTTCATATTATTTCTAATACGTAATTTTATTTGATAGGAACTCTGAGGATAAAATTTTTAGACTGTACAGAATTGCTTGAAAAGTTAATAGAAAGTTCATTTTAAGTCATACTTAGTGGTCAAAAAAAAAAATGAATGTAATATAGATAGTAATTTTTGTTTTTAAAATTTTTAAAATCAAATTTTGACGATAATCGTAAATATGGTAATTACGGCCTTATATTGTTACCTAGTATCGTAATTACGGCCTTTCAAAACATATTTTATAAACGAACTTCACTCCGAATCGTTTTTTGTTAGCAATGGTTTATTTTTGATAACAGTTAAAAATTAAGTTATTTCATGTATCTCACCTTCTGATCTACTCACAACAGTGACTGCACTCGTCCTCGGTTTTAACTTTCAACATATTGAAATATCAAAATATTCAACGTTTTATGTGGTAAAACGACTAAACCTAATGTATGGTTAGTATAAACCCTCCTTTGATGAACGCTAAATTAATTAATGTTGACAAATAATTTAAGCGAGAACTATTGTGATCAATTGATAAATGATAATTGACTAAAAATAAGTGAAAATATTAAGTAAAACGGTTATTTATACTGTATACTGTTTAGGTATACCTATTGTATACACAATAGGTAAAAAAGGCAAATAAATAAAAAAAAAGAGCTGATAATGGGGGTGGGTGTGCACTGTTGTAGATTGAAAGTTGGGAAGATAGGATCATAAAGTTATTTAATTTATATCTATAAGCAACGATAAAGTATTGTTAGCAAAAAACGATTCGGAGCGAAATTCGGTTATATATTTTCCGAAATACTGTAACTTTTAATGCTTTGCTATCATGTTTTGGCATCGGTTTGGACTTTCTGTGTTTTAGTTGAGGGGCCAGGTATAAAACCTCGAAAGCTTATTCTAATCGTGCAAATAATTGCAATTTACTTAATAACTTTGTGCATAGTTTACGAAATTTTTGAAGAAAGACAACTTTATGGACGTTCTTAAACAGTTTTTTTTTTACATTTTCTTTATTATTTTTGTCGTTAATATTTATAAAATATGTAAGTAGTATTGTAGACCGTAGAAAGTGTTATTTGGTATTAGGTAATACAAACAAAATTAAATGTATAATTTATGTAGCTTTTCAGCGTAGATATTTCAAATACTTGCAGAGAGTGGCTGACTTCAAGGGTATGTATTGTAACTACTATCACGGTGAATATTTTAATAATTTTCGTTTCATTGAAATTTAGATTTGATAACATTTTATAATTATTATTATCAATCATCAATTAACGTGATGATCCATACATTTTTTTTCTTGATTAGAACTAGAAAAACAAAAAACTCCATTGGAATTTTGTGAAGGTAAAAATGAAATTAAAGAAATTAATGACGTGTATACATCTTTAGAGTGTGTCCCACGAAGATATACCCAGTGCAATAGCTCTTGAAATAATAAAGATAATCAATTCTACTTTTCTTTTACTTACATTGATAAAGATTAGAAATAATTATACTTGATTTAAATTTGTATGTTTTGGTAAAAAAAAATAACTTTTTATTTTCGAAAAATTTGAAAATAGCCATTTTATAGAGTTTATTTTTTTGTGCATTTTGATGTTTCAACTTTTTATTTTCAATAAATTTGTGATTTTTCACATTTTTTTAAAGTTCACAGAAAAAAATCTGTATAGTCATAATAATAGATACGAATAATAATAATGATTGTAATAGCAACTGCATTAACTAATTGAAATAATTAGCTAATGCAATTAGAGCCTGCTGCATAATTATAGTCTATAGGTAATTAGAATAATAATGGCTAATATTGACTGTACACTTTTTTCACTGAAATTAAAAAATTAAAAAATTGAGATTTATCAAGATTCTTTTTAATTATGTTGTATGATGTCGATAAAAATATTTTATTAAATTCTAGGTTGTGAAGGTAAGGTTATTTTAATATACAATCAGGTAAAATAAGAGATCATCGCAGTGACATTTACTGTCTCTGTCTTTTAACTGGTCATATATCAAAAATGTATTTATGTAAAAAAAGAAAAAGAAAAAGCTATTACGATAGGTATTACTGATAAAACATCCATAATATAAAATATATAGATGATAACATTTTGAAGGTACAAAAAATAATAATTTACTTTTTCTTTTTAATGAATACTACCCAAAGCGGTTGTCTTCAAAATGTTTCCATTCAAAAATTGTTAAAACAGGTATAATCTAAAACTGATTTCATAAAATTTTTCTTTTGTTTTATGTGAAGCTATTTTTTCTATACAAGTATACAAGTCGTACTGTAATAGCTTCTTGACACACACTAAACGCTAACAATTTAAAATATACTGATACACTCCGTTTTTCTCCAATGATGTAATAATATTTTTTATTTGTATTTAAAATTTCTTAGTTATAAATACTGTTTAGTGAATATGAAAATATTGAAATAAAGGTATTCGGTTTTTACGTAATTTCATTGGCATACAATACCAATCTACCTACTTAATATATTTTAATTCATGTACCTAATTTATTGAATTCTTTATATGTCTCCATGTCCCTAGAACTCCCCTTCAAAATTTTAAAAAATCGTGTGTGCCGTACTATATCAGTCATAATTCATAAATATTGCGTAAACAAATTTGAAAGGAATCCATAAATGATGGCATTTCAGTTAAATTCTTAAACATAATTTATAAATTGATATTTACCCAAGGTATTTCAAAATGTTTGTGTCAAATATTTTATCGGGGTTTTTTTTTCTCGGGATATTGTATCTTAGAGCCCAAAAAATTAAATTATGATATATTTTCAATTGCCTTAACAGAAGAACTTAATCGTGTATTCAATCATAGTAAGTAGTTATGTAATGAAAAAAAAAAATTGAAATGTATTATATATTTATAAACAATATAATAATATTAAACATTATTTGTTTTTAGTATTTTTTGTATTTTTATTAATATTAAAAGGTTATGGAAAAAAAAAAACTTTATGATTTTGTTACAATTAGCTTGTGGAAAAACCACCGACTATGCCACATATTTTCTAATAAATTTCCGTAAGTAAAATATAAAATACCTTTTGTACCTATATATCTACACATTAAGTACAATATTTGAAAATTGGATTCGTATCAAATTTAGAATCAGTACATTGAAATTAAAATTGGTACATAAGATACCTATGCAATATATATATATATATATATATATATCAAAACAAGATAAAGATCATCTTTAATAGCTAATTTATCAGTTATATTAATTCAATTTTAATAATTCAAACAGCCTGGTACGTTTTCCATATAACAGTGTCATATTGAAATATAGGAAAAACAAAAGTGAATAATAATATTTTAATAATTTAAAACGGATAAGTTTTAGAGTAGGTAGATATTCCTAATCCTTCTTCTTCGTGCCGGTCAGCAAGTTATTTTATTTTTTTAAGCCGAGAAGTTAATCAGTTTAATAACTTCGTCATTTGATTCTCTAAGTAGGCCACTCGTCTCGCGTATTGCATTAACCGGGTGGTCCTCTGTTACCCTTGTTCGTGTTAGCTCTTCAGTTTTTGGTTTTGCATTTGTCATTATATCTATGGATGCTGTCGTGCTATTTAGGAAGTTGTGTCTACTGTTATTTGGAGTATCTATACCCGTGTAGAGGTTACTTTTCATCAGAGTTGCAATTATTTCTTCACCTGTCACCTGTCATCTTATACCCGGTAGGGGCTATACAAAAGAGTAGAGTGTGTATAGTTTATTGGTTGTTGTCGGTTTTAGGCAGCCTGTGATTATTCTACAGAATTCTTTAAGTGCTACGTCTATTTTCCTCGAGTGAGCCGAGAGGAATCATACTGGACGGTTATATTCTGTGGCCATAAATGTGTATTATAAATACATGTAGAGACTTGAAAGATGGTAATAATACTTATATTGGACTAACCTAGACCTGGTAAAATTTCCAAAATCATCTGACGACCTGTTTTTTTTTTTTTAATAAACGTTATAAAATCAAATTCAAACGAAAATCTCAAAAGTAAATACGGTACTTCAAGTTATGTATTGCTGAACTGCTCTCGGAATCGTCTTTCGTTAAGTAATGGTTTACATCTTAAATCTTTAATTATATGGTCACTCCCATCCCCGTAACAGCTCTTTTTTGTATTGTGTAGAATTGTAGCAATATTTTCGCGTATGAAAATGTTGTCGGGGTTGTATCACGCTTTTCTCGTCCACTGTTTAAAGATACGGTCTCTTTTGGGCCAAAGATTAGAAAAAGTTCGCTGCCTACACCCACACTTTTATACTTTTTCCCTGCATTCGTTAATTTCGTTGTATTCTTTGTTTTTACTATAATCTTAGCTTTAATCTTAGTAATTTTATCTCTATAGTTACCAAGTTCTTTGAAAACAAACTTGTCGTCGGGAAGTCAGCTGTTAGTATTTTTGTGCAATTGGTACTACTCATGGCTGTGGATTTCACTATGCTGTTGTCTTTAACGAAAAGTGTATTCCCTGCTTTTTATGAAGCAATTTAATGATTATTGTCATTCCTTTTATATTTTGGTCTTTTTGTTCTTCTTTATGTTTCTCTTAGAGGCACAATATTTCCCATTTGCCTTCTTTGACTATTTTCTGATTAGTTATGTTTATTATATTTTTAATAAAGTTTTATTTCTGATTAGTTCTTCTTTTTCTGGTATGAGGTCCTCGATGTTGATGGATACCAGTGACAGAAAAGACCTTTTCTGTTACTAATCATGGTTGGTAGGATTGGTTGACGAGAGTTGAATTATAATCACATTTATTCGATATAACCATAAAAATATGAAACTCGTAATTTCAGGAGCACCACTTGGAGGTTTTTATCACGCTTCCAGTATTCCTAATAAGAAACCTTAAGTTCCTCTAAAGTAAAATGTATACAATTTTAGTGGAAAATTATTTCAAATATCTAGTATTATTAATTATTTGCTTAGAAATGAAGAAATTAATTAGAATTTATGTACCTAGTTTATGTGTTCAAAATTAGGAATTGATTAAATTTTGATTGACGTTTATTTATGTATATTAATTAATCATAAATGAGATGATGACTGTGTGAAAAGCACATTGTTTCCACTGAATGATTAATACAGTTTTTTATTACAAAAATTCCATGTCTAATAGTCTAGTTTACTATAATCTTTTTAGAATAAGATGCACCGCCAAAACAACTGTGATTGGTTATCAATCATCGGCTGCGTTTATCGTTTTCACACAGTGAAAATCGTCGCACAGTATTCCAAAAAGGATTTTTAGCAGGACAAAATTATTTTTTTATTAAATTGTTTTATTTTTGTGGGTTTTTAGTTTATTTTTAAACTTAGTTTTTACATTGTGCATGTATAAAGTCCTTAAATCAATTTCAGAAATTCGATGGTTTTATGAATTAATTAATTTAGAAAATTTAAAAAATCGGATTTAAATGTATTCATTTTAATTTGTACAACTAAAATATTATTGTTTTTTATTTATTCATCAAAATCACTGGAGTTAACATTTTCCGATTTTTGGTTTCTGATACTGAATTGGCTACTTAAAAATGTTATTATGAAATATATGCTGATATGTGAAATATAAGTAAGTAGTTTAAAATATTTACTTTTCCGTCTATCATTAATAAAAATATTGTATGTTTAATTTTAACTTCCTCTGTACCACCCAAATAGATAATGGGATGTTATTAATTATTTCAGATATAACTGCTTCAAATCCTTGTGTACTTATAATGGTTTTTTTTTTTAAATTCGAACTTAATCGATCGACAAACTCTTGTTGAAGAACATCTCCGATTTTTCCATATTATATGTTTATCTTTTAAATATAAAAGGTTCTAAGATAATAAGTCGCTACTTGTTGCTATCTAATTATAAAACGTCGTTAAGAAGACAAGTTTAACTGATAGAAAATACTACTACTATCTACTATCCACTACTTTAAATTTCGGATCCATTAGTAATACAAAATAAACGTTTTTTATATTTTCTTATAATTCTTTATGCATTATTTAAATTCTACATGCAAAACTTAATTTAAAATAAAAATGTGTGTATATATATATATGTATATACATACCTTCCACTAATGTATCCATGATATTCCATAAAAAACATACGATTTAGGTATGTTCATTCAACGGACAACGCAAACCATATAATAATCATACATTCAAACAATTTAGCTTGTTATTAAAAACCTTATCGTAGACTACTGGGAAATTTAATACACTAACAAAACGGCGTGGCCCGGCGTAAAGATTTAAAAACCCATATTATCTAATTAGTTACTTACTATCAACGCATTAAATGAAGTTTTATGTTCAATCGGTAACTCCGAAAAATCTAATTTTGTCCCCCTAAATCAACCTTTTCGAACACTGTGAGTCGTCGCCATCTTTGTGGTCGCGTTCTTAATCTGAAAGGAGTATATACTATTAGAATGTAACTGAATTGTACTATTTTTTGTAGGTTGTGAAAAACTTAAAGGTAAAATAATTAAATAATTGTTTTATGTTTTAGTATAAGAATTAAGCACGTACCGTCAAAATATATAAACCACATAACTTTTGTTGACACTTGTCAAATCTATTTCAGTATCACACCATTAATGATAATGCGGTTATAGTATTTTGTTATCATCTAGTATAATGTAGTATTTTAATTAAAATTATAGTCCAAAAGTACCTGGTACCTAAACACATTTTTAAAATTTAACATTTTACAAAAACTAGAGGTAGTTGAATAAGTATATTAATATAATTTATTAATATTCGTTAGCATTGCTTAATCTTTGCGTAAACTTATATAATGAATTCCCCCTCTACCTTCTCAACTTTTCACCAACAACAGTGACACACATTCGTTTGTTTTATAATTTATCTATTCATAGTGCGATGAATCCTCGATAAGACACTTATCATGTCGAAAAGTAACACTTTTTTGAAATTTTATTTTTAACAACTTATAAAACAAATAGCTCCAAATTCCACACAGCATTTGGTAAGGAAATGATAATATTTTATAAATATTTTTAAGTGGTTAAATAATAAATATTTTACTAATAATATTGTATAGATATTTTATTCTTATGATACCAAAAAATTTTGTTATAAGATTCATACAAATGTTTTCTAATATTTGTATGTTTCCAAGAAAATATACAAATTAAACGTTTTAAAAAAATATGAGTTTAAAATGTTTGATGAATTTTATTCTAAACATGAATATTTGGGCATAAAATATTTCGATAAAATTTACACCATTATTTAATAATAATCGGACATATTTTGACAACTATACAATTTTCCTATGTAAAATATTATCATTTCCCAAATGCTGTGTGGGCATTATCGTCATTTTTTGTTATTCTTAGTTTTGGAGGTGAAAACACTACTCATTTTTGGTTTTTAAATAATAACCTACGTTAAAAGTTCTATAAATAGATGATGTATACGTAATTGAAAAAAGAATAATTTTCGTCAATTTTCCCATTTTTGCTACCTTTTTTTGGTTTTGCTCAATAATTAAAACAATTACAAGGAAAATCAAAATAAGATTTTCATAGTCACCAGAACAAGACAAAGTGACAAGAACAAAAATACAACAGAAAAGTTTTTTATTATTTTTCTATTAGATAGCCATATTTCTGCTAGAAAACTTAAAGTGTACAAAATGAAATCGTAACGTCATAATTTGTCAGTTGCCATTTTATATTTCGAGCGTAGCGAGGGGAACTATTGGTTTTACAATGCTGTTTATTTTTTTTATGTTCTAGCTGTGGACACATTTTTCCTAGTAAACTTGCTCTGATACATAAGTATAACAATTTTTTTGAAAATTTAGGTTGTCTAGATTGTACTTTAGAGAGGTTGATTTTTGACGCCATTTTTTAAATAAAAGCACTTAAGTGGGAAAAAACGTAGGAAAACGTACAATTTCATGATTTTATAATTTTTAAGGAATTTCAATATTGGGAGTTTTCTTGGTATAATTCGGCTATAAATAAACGTAGAGACTTCAAACTTGGTAATAATATATATATTGAACTTATCTAGACGTGGTCAAATTTCCAAAATCCTCGGACGCCTTTTTTTTTTAATAAGCGTTTTGAAATCAAATTTAAACGAAAATCTCAAAAAAAAAAAAACAAATTATGGCACTTTAAAAAACATATTACCGAACTGCGTTCGGAATCGTCTTTCTTCAAGCAATGGTTTATCGTTATTTAAGGATATAAATAAAAAAAACCTTATGTATCCTGCCTTCCCAACTTCTCACCTATAACCGCGGTTACTCCCATCCTCAGTATCAGCTCTTTTTTTATTATAAAACTTAAATTTAAAAAAGAGGTGTTATTGAGGACGGGTGGGGCCACTGTTGTATGCGGGTAGTTGGGAAGGTGGGACACATTAAGTTATTTAATTTATACTTATACGGCTATACTTAACGATAAATCATTAATAACGAAAAACAATTTGGAGCGAAATTCATTTACATATGTTTTGAAAGCTAGCAATATTTACAATTTTTGTCAAAATTTAGTTTTAAAACTCTTATAAAAAATAAATATATATATATTTTGTCACTCGTTATACACTCAAAAAAATGTATAAAACATAAGTTTAACATATTAAAATAATTAAACCGAGACGCTACGTTTCCGTAAATATTAATCAATTTAAATTTTTGAGTTTTGCAAATTATTTAGAGAACTACTTTGGATATCGAAAAACGACTTATTCTGTCAACGGCGATATAATAAAAAGAACAAAATCGTAATGCTTATTAATTATGAAATACATGAATAAAATATTTATTAGATACTATAAAAAAATGTATTGAGTATTTCTGGGGGTGCTAATTTGAAACTTGGGGATGCTAAAGACTCCCTGCACCGCACTAGTTGTGGCTTGAAATAAGTCTCAAATACCTACTTCAAATAATGGTAACAATGTAAAATATTTTTTTAAACCAAAAGAAATAGAGAAATTGTCTTTAAAATTTTAAACCACAGCAATAATAGATTTGAAGGAAATAAATTAAATTGCCAAAAATGTAATAATAAATTAAAAAGAAAATCTGTTGATGATATTTGTAAAAAATCAGCGCAATTTTAAAAAACATTCTAATGATGATGTTAACTCGTATTACATTATAATATACGTCCTTTTTATTAGAGATGGAATTGGTATCTATTTTTTTTAACAGGGACGAAATTGGTACATCCCTTTTTTTTACCGGGATGGAATTGGTATAAAAAAAAAATATTTGACGGAACTCCGATGTAGCTATTTTGACTAGCTATAACAATACCTACGAAACTACCTTTTGGAAGGGTTTTTTTTTAAATTTAAATCTTTCTATAAGAAAATTGAATGTACGCAATCGATTATGTTAACATGTTTTCACTGATCGTAATTAAAATTAATTAATTCGATTTTTAGGTTTGCCGAAAAAATATGCTGATTATTTGTTTGATTACATTACACCGGGTAATAATTTTAAAAAATAAATTTAAAATATTTTATAGGTAACTGTAAAAAAATAAATAAATAATCTTTGTTTTTCTCTATCGTTCCTAACCACAAATTGGTAGATACCAAAATGTTATTGGTATTTACTATTCTTTTTTTCACAAACCTACCTAACTTGTGACAAAACAACTTTTCACTCCTCGTACAGTGGCTTAAAATTGAAAAAAACTGATCGAAACTAATTATTAACCAGGCTACTAATTCGTTTAAAACACGTGTGAGGTAAAATATGAACTTTTTTTGTCCATATTCTCCATATTTTTACCGTTTTCAACAAAAAATGCTTCTTTGGTCCGAGATGATATAACAGTCTGCTACGAAAGAACGAAAGCACGGACCGCAAAAAAAAGTAACGTCCATCAGTATCAATAATCAGATAACGATTCCTAACAAGTGATAACCAGTGAGACCAAAATTTAAAAAAAAAAAAAAAACTGTTATTTTTGTTCCCCAAAATAACAGCTGTTAAATGTTACACTGAAAATAACTGCTGTAAATCACTGTTCCTGTTATTTTTTCTCATTACTAGCTTTCGTACAGTGTGAAAACGGACGGGTGACACGGGAGATAAGTCTATGTCTAAAGCTTTATTTTTATTGTCACACACTTCGGTTTTATTTGTCCGTGTACGGTGTTCGGTGTTAACGTACACCGATAGTGTGCGGGCGATAAAACGGATGAGAAACACCGTACGCGAAAACGGAATAAAACTGATTAAGTAATTAATATTTCCGAATATTATTGAAATTAGCTACAAAATATAAAGCTATTGACGATAAAAATAGATTCATATAAACCATTAACATTAACAAATATTTAACAACTATTTGCTGAATCGTAATCATGATTTACGAATATTTTTAAACAGTTTAAGATAAGTATACATTACATGAAGGGTACAGGGAAAAACTACAAAGGGATACACGCCACGCCGTGGTAAGACGTGGACATTGTGCACATTAGTACAACACAATACGACGCGACGGATACCACGCACAATATTAAAATAAATAAATAGTCAAATTAGTCGAATTAGTACGAGTACCATTTTCCAAGTGAACATATTATTATAAATTATTCAAGTTCGTTTGAAAGTGATTGAGAAGAAAAGTTGGAAGAAATGGCTGTGGCAACATTTTGAAATGAATCCACAAGTAGCCGAAAATTATGGGTCATTCTGTTCATGCGGAAAGGAACGAAAAAGGAATTTTTTTTTTAAACTTTTTCCTCATTACATTTTAAATTAATTTGTCTTCACTGTATGTAGAAGACATTGTTAAACGTTGAATGTCACTTTTTCCAATCCGAGAAAAACATGTTTTTAATTTCAAAACTTAACAATTTTTTTTTTTACAAAGTAAAAAGTTCGAATTAAATTAGATGTTAAACTTTTAAATGTAATAACCATAACACAATCAAGTCGTATTAACTATGGTTATTAACTCAATATTAGTCTGATTATCAGTTGACTTACCTGTTTTTTTTTTCCCCGTGAGCCTAAACTTGCTCATTACTTTCGACTAATATGGTTTTGTCGTCGGTTCGATCGCATAAAAGATACAGTATATCAATACTAACTGCTTGATTCCAATAATGCAATTTTGAAAAAAAATGACTTTTCTGGTTTTTCTCTGTATCCTTTACATTCAGTCTGCTATTTCAAAATTGTAAAATAATCTCAATGTTCGTTACACAGACTAAACGTTTCATGGTTTTTTTTTTTAAATATAATTATAATTATAATATAATATGTAGACCGGCAGTGCGTAAGCCGCTATTTATTATTCAAATTGAACAATTTATAACACCCTGCCAAATACTACTTTAATATTCGATTTTAAAATCACAAATGTGTACCTTGCATGGTCTAAATGACGCCACTGATTACATGTATTTCCTAGGCCATTCGTCATTCCTAGGTGTTTTATCTTATACATATAGTCTATATGTTAAACAAACGACACGAAATAATATTAATTGTATTTTGTTTTCTTGATAAGGAAATATTAAACGCCCAGGCGATTTTTGTAAAAGTCTTGAAGAAAACCAAGACCACATTCGTATGTACCCAATATTACTATATAACACTATCTTAGTTTATTAGTTTGTAGTTTATGTGTACGTTAATAAAAAAAAAAGCTGTCCTAGGATAATGGGGACGGGTGCAGCCACTGTAGTTGTTGGTGGGAGGTTGAGAAGGTAGGATATTGACGGAAATTTAATATATATCTTAACGCAACGAATAATTATTACGAATGAAAAAACGAAGTTTATAAAGCTAAAATAATTTCATATGCATACAACATGTTCTTAAATAATATTTGTTTTATATTGTACCTATTTTCCCGTTTTCCCTAGGTTTTTCCCGGTTTTCCCGTGTTTTTCTCGGTTTTTCCAAAGTATTAGGATATAGAATATATTATAGACAAATTAAAAAATATCGTCCTTAAAGTACCTCCCCAGTTCGATTTCCTTTCAACAAAAGTGCTATCATTTAAAATTGGAGCGAAATTGCTGGTGGAAAAGTTGTCTACAGAAAAAAAAAACCCATAAGTTTCTTTGATCCGCTCAGAATTAAAAAACTATAATAATAAACATTATTGTAAAACTAATAACATTCCTTGCTTCAGTCAGAATCTAAAATATAATGTGTACTATTATCATTTTTACTTGTCCTATTAAATTTATTCATGTCAAAACAATTCCGGCGTACATGGCATATGGTCCAATTCTAATAGTTCTATATTCATTAATCAAAAAAATATTATTATTTCTTTTATAATATACTTACTATAAACTGTTCAAGAATTCAAAATAGTATCAGCGACAGCATTATTTGACGACGGATAACACCAAATGGCAACTGCACTACAGTACATACTACATATATATATTGATATTTACTACCAGTTGTAGGCGAATTGGTTTGGTAATAATACTCCAAAAATTTTTTTTTTTTGAGATTCAGTTAAACATATTCGTAGAGAATTGAAATTTGGTTAGAAAACTTATATTTAGTTTTTTAGACGTGGTAAAATTTTCAAAAAATTGAAGCCATTTTTGAGCTATTTATAGACATTTAAATGTTAGGAGTTTTTTACGTAATTTTTATTCGGTAGGTAAATTATTGATAAAAATTGTTAGACTAAACAGAAATGCTTAAAAATTTAACAGGAGGTTCATTATTACTCGTACTTTGAGGTCAAAAGAAAAAATGTCGAGTGTAATGTAGACATTTTTTTTATAAGAATTTTAATATAACATTTTTACGAACATTGTAAATATTATAGGTGCGTTACGCTGGCGCCACCATATCGACATTTTGACCACTTATAAATAATGAAAATTGTAACAATGTGAAATTCTGATAATCTCTTAAGTGTTGGTAATAAATTGCGGCCGTTGAATTATACAACCTATGGCTTTTCAACTCAATATTACAAACATGACGATATACAGCAGTATAAAGATAGTAATAATTTATAAATAGTATAATAGTAAAGACCGACTGACTGAATGACGTATTAACACAAAACCCAAACCAAGAATATTGAAATTCATTCATGAGATTTATCCCGACTATACATTGTTACAGTTTGCATTATTTATAAATGGTGTACTAGTGATTTTTACCACTAGTAAAAAAAATCGATTTTCTGGCGTTCTAGAGCGATTACAAAATTTGTTTTGCGATTATAAATTGTTCCATATGATATTATACAGTGCCAGTAAGTTTTGATGTAAAAATGTTGACACGGTGACGCTAGGGTAACTGACCTATATATTATGCCATTTCAAAACATGTATGATCAAATTTCACTTAGAATCTTTTTTCGTTAGTAATGATTAATCGTTGCGTATAAATAGATATACATTAATTCCCCTCTATATCCTACCTTCCTAACTTCTCACTTACACCAGTGGTCCACCCATCGTGCAAAATATGTCCACCTTTTTTTTTGTTTACAATGATTTATAGTTGCTTACAGTTTATAAATTAATCCTCCTGTATATCCTACATCAAATTTCTCAATTACCCATCTGCAACAATGGCCTACCTATGAGAAGTAAAACTTTTTCAATTTTATATCCCCCACCACTTACCGAAAATAAATCCTGGTCGCATCACTGGTTTGTAATGTTGTTTGATTTGTTTTTCCTGTGATATTTTGTAGGATTATTATTTTGATGATATTTTGTCAAGTGGCTGTATTTTTCGAGTGGCTTTATAAAGTCTCAGTGTATCCCTAAATATAATAAAACTAAAACACGACTCTCTTTAAGTATAAATAAACACTGCAAAGTGCGAATCACGGTTGTAAATAGTGTGGTTGGGGGAGTATGTACTAAATATAGACATACAGTAAAACTTCCATGTAACGGCCACCGAAGGGACCGGAAATAATGACCGTTACACAGAGGTGGCCGTCTTTTAGAGGTGACCGTTAACGGAAGTTTTACTGTCTTCATAAATGGACTGCAATTTCCTCACTTCCCGTCAATCGTGTTCGTGAACAATATTGTGTGAAAAGGATAGCGATTTTGATTCGAATTTCAATGATAGCACTTTTCTGAAAGGAAATCGGACTGGGGAGGTACTTTAAAAAATCTTTTTTTTTTTTTATTTTCCTTGAGTTTTCTCTATAATAGGGATGTGAATTTTTTTTTATTATATGGGACAAGATAGGGAGGTGTCCAAGAAGAATTTTGAAATTAACAAAATAAGGACCACCTTAACAGTTATAACAACCGTACGCCCTATAACAGCTGTATTGGAGCTGTTATATCTATTTTACAGCTGTGATCTGCATAGATAATAAAGTAATGGATTTGTTGCTAAGTTTTTCGCGGAGAACATTTAATGAGCGTCAGATTTATACCATCTACAGCCGTGCTGCTTATATTTTACCAATATATAAACATACTAATTTCCTCCTGTGAGATCAAATAAAAAGTTTGGTAAGTAGTAAATTATTTAGGTCAATAAAGTTGATTTAATTTAGAAAATAAAGAAAAAAATTACAAATTATCATAGTACATTAATAATGTTTTATTTATAAATTTAGAAGCCTGTATAGGTTAGTATACTCGGATTTCATTTATTTTACATCATATGCAATAATTTGTAAGTTCTTGAATATTTTTTGAAAGATCTGTTTTCCGTAAGATGTATATTGCCGAAAAGTAATTATTTGTTTCGCTTTATGTTTTATTAAATTTAAGGTACACTCAATTCTAATACACAACATTTTCCTTATTTTTTTCACTTTTATTTTCGGTGGAAACATTGGTTAATTTTTGATTCTCATTTGACAACCTATACTTAAAGTTCCATAAATATATATATATATATATACAAGTTATATTTTACTGTTCCCTCCCTATACCTGCGTCACTGAAAAAAACACTAGATTCCAGAATATTATGGTATATCAATATCTTACTAAAGCGTTGATGGAAATTTAAAATGTCAAAATAAAATTGTAATTCAACACTAAAATTTCAACCAATGTATGCTATATTTTTAACAGCTTTCACCTTCTACATTGGCGTAAATGAGAGGGGGAAGGCTTGGCAGAATTTAGTTCCCAAATTTGGACGGGGCTTAAACCCTCACCAAAATAGTTTGGCTATTTGTGTCTAAGGCCTTCCCACATTAAAATGGGTATGTACATGGGTTTCACATTTTATTAGTTGTCTCCAACCCCACTCAATGTTTTTTTGTTTTTAATAACGTGAAAATCAAGTTCATACACATTTCGAAAATCATTATACAAATTCGTACAAAATACACATTATAAATATCTGTTGAGACAAATTTTGAAAATTCTAAATGAGTGGGACTCTGGTGATATACGTATAGTTTTGTTGGAGTGCCTTGCGGAAAACTGATCGCTCTTTATAACAGATAACTATGGCAGATATTTATACGCTTTTATACATTTTTATAGGCTAGTACAAAAAAAAAAAAAAAATTGTTTATACTAAATACAATGTTTCATGATCTAACAATTCTGTATACAAAATTGTATTTTGCATATTTTTAAATTTGTGCCCTATATTAAGGAACTGATTACGATTTTGTAATTTGTACATTTTTAGAGTATATTTCAGTATCCAGGGCTGGTAGTGCGCTCAATAATATGATCGCGTAAAAAAGTGTAACATTTAAATTAATACATTTTATTTTTGAGTCACTTTAAAACTGAACAAGTGTCCTAGTAATAAAAATTGTACTTTTTTTGCTGTACACATAAACCCTTATGCCCATAATTAAACCATAATGCCCCTAGCATATCATCTATACCATGGCTAAAATTGGCTACGATGTGTGTTTGTTTATATACCTAGTATATTATTGATTATATTATAATCATTGGTAATTTACAAGTTTTCCCATTATAAAAATAATTGAAACATTTTTTTTTAATTGGTTGAAAAAAAAATTAATTGCTTACAGCATACCGCTGGATAAAACAAAATATTAGTTTCTGATTTTTTTTAATTGCATATTCCGATAATTATTTTTAGGTTGTGTACATTAAATTTATTAGAGCACATAATTATCTGCCTTAGTTATAACTTATAACTCTTAAATAATATATAGACAATTTTCTTTGCGATTCAATGTTGCTCGTTCTAAACATCTAAAATTACGTAAAAAAAAAAATCAAATAAAGGAACTTATTTTTGCGCGATGTAATAACAGATAACTTGGCACATTTTGGATTCAACCGTAAGTAACTATTTTATATCAACCGAACACGATTCGTGACAAATATTATTATTTTATTCAGTCGTTTTTACAAACATAATTAGCAGTACTAGAATCAGTATACATTAGCATAGTTTTTCTCTCATCGCAATCGATTAATTATCCTTATCACTATTTACTATTTTCTCCGTTAGTAATGTCCACGATGTAGCTTATTTAATTGAATGGAACATTTTTCCCCTCGTATGTTTGCGTATTTCTAAAAACTGTACACATTATAATATATATATAATATGTAATTAAAAACAAATAAACAAATTTTAGTCCAGGTAATATTATTAGTATATAAATAAATAATTGACAGAATTATGGCACAAAAAGTGTGTCATGGTGTATCGAAATCTTTTAACTGTAAACATTTTCATCATTCGACAATTATAGCATTAACAACCGAATTAACAAATTAATTTTTATTTAAATTATTACATAAATATATCATTGTTTTTTCACAATTTATAGAATATGACACAACTAAAAAAACTTTGGCTTATGCGTTTTATAACACAGGTAAATACAAATATTTTATCGGTTTTTAATTTCAAAACAAAACAAAGCCCTGCACAGTGCCACGTGGCTTCACTGGCCCGACTCACTGACTCTTTCCTCACCTACCTATTTATATTTTAAGTATCATAAGTTAACCTACTTCTTAAAACCTAATCAAACACTTTTTCTTATTATTATTTCCTAATGCTAACTAACATTAATAGTTCACAATATTTTGTTGTTGCATCTTACAACAGTCATCATTGGTTCATTTTATGTAATACCTACATGCATTGTAGGTATTACCTAGTAGAATAATTTGTTTTATTCATTATTATTGTCTGATATTTTGGTTTTTTATAAAGAATGAGTTCTACAAGCTTTACAAATAGCACTGATTTTATAGTACAAGACATTAAATGAGCTTTAATTTCTAAAACATTAAAACTTTTCATTATATGTGCAATAAATATTATTTAAATTGATTAAACAAAATGTAAATATATTTAAATTGTATGTCATGTTTGGTTCGTAGGGCTCTATTATCTTCCAAGCGGAAGTGAGTTATTATTTTTAAACAAGTGTCAAAACTTAGACATTTATTTGTTATAGAAATTAATTTTTGTAATTTTAAACGAGATTAAGTTAGTCTATGTGATTTTAAAATATGGATTGACTCAGTTTCGGTCCGACTATGGCCGCTAGGCCAATAACGCGACCGGAGCCCCCAGGCGTATTTGTGTCCAGAGACCTCTCAAGGCTCAAGATTTATAAAATAAATTATTAATTATATTCAAATAAAATTTATAAAATAGTCAGTAATTTAATTACTGACTATTTTATTATATAGTGATTGAATATACATAGTGTTATTTGGATTTGAGTTTACTACAGCAGACTGCAGTAAAATAATAAAATATAATAACAGTGAGAGTGATTAAAATTATACACAAATTACTGAAAGATGAAAGAACGTCGAAAATCACTTTTGTGAATATAAAATAAAATGAAGTGGCGTAACTGGGAAAAAATTTAGAAGGGGCAAATTTACTATGATTAAAACTCTGAGCCCCCTCCCCAGTTTAAATATATTTTTATTATATACATAGTCACTGTTATAGGTAATTTAATGTATACCTGTAAGAAACGATAAACCATTGCTAACGAAAAAAATGATTCTGAGCGGAGTTCAAGTGATAGTGATGCTTTGTTAACGTTATTTATGTAATTTTATAGTGAAACAATTCAATAGGCTTTATACATTTTCTTTAATAATATTTGTTTAATGTTGTACTGATTTTTCCAGTGTTCTTACTGTTTTCCCATTTTTCCCCTGTTTTTTCGGTTTTTTAAATTTTCTGGGAAAATCCATAGGAAAATCAAAATATGACCTTTATAAAGTATCTCTTCAGTCATATTTCATTTTAGAAATAAGTGATATCATTGTAAGTCGGAGCAAAATTGCTGGTAGAAAAGTTGTTCACGGGAAAAAAGAAGGCCGTAATATTTGTTAATAAATACCTACATTTCGTACATTTTCCCGTTTTTTCTCCGTGTTAATTGGTTTTTCATATTTGTTGAGAAAACTTTTAGGAAATCGAAAAATAACTTCCTTAAAGTACCTCCCCACATGGATTTACTTTGATAAAAAGTGCTGGAATTAAAAATCGCAGCAAGATATCTGGTAGAAATGTTGTCCACAGAAGAAAAAATTAAACATGTTTGTAAAACCATAAGCTTCTTCGCTACACTCAGAATCTAAAATATGCATAGTATATACCTTATAGTTTTCAATAATAAGTAGTGAACAATAAAAATCAAATAAGAACACGTTAACAAGAATGAATAGAAACAATCATCTAAGAATATATATATAAAGAAATACTATTAAAAATGTTTACATATTACAAACTGTATAATATGTTTTTTCCTACATTAAATTATCTAAGTCTAATAATCATATGATTTAATATGTTATAAAAGAGTATATTATATTCTTTAACAAGGCTACAAATTTTGATTCAACTGTGTGTGGTAAATTTAAAGGAATATAAATAATAAGTGATAAAGGAATAAAGGGGTCATAAAATAACAGATAATAAGTATTCTAGCTTAACACAAACTAGATAAAAATACTTAGTTCTCATCCATGAATATTTTTTCTGGCTACCCTATTGGTGTGAGAACTAAATATTGTTAACGGGAAACCGCAGCATAGCAGCATGTCAGTATTGATCGTGCAATCCAAGACGTGAAAATATTTTAACAACATGATGCAAGATAATAAAACCAGCAAATGGCCTGAGAGACTTAATTTATGAAAAATAAATCATAACATTCTAGAACTAAACGAAGCCCATATAATGCGATGCTTGGAACTGACCCTAAACTGACTTGTTTTCAAGTATAATGTCATTTGGCACACACACATATTACAAGAAATACCATCAACTGAAAATAGAAAACACTTGAACTAGTTGTTAATTTAAATACTTTAACCATTCATAATCTGTAGGCTTTGATAATTGTATATTGTAACTAGTTACTCTATGTATTCTAGATAAAGTACGAGCATTATATGTATATAATTTGAATGTAAATACTTACGCAAGAATATCACGTTAAATTATAAAATAATAGACTTTAACGGTATATATATATGTTGCCGTATGACGTTCATTGTTATTTTTTAGAAATATTATCGGTTAACGAAACGGCTGTCGGCCCAATATCACATTGATTTTCCATTACCTTTGTATTTTTTACGACAAAACGATTTATGCGCTCTTGGTGTGCCAGGCCGACACTACGGATTGTTGCTTTTTAAATGCAATAAATTGACACCATTAATTTAAATTGATATCATAAATAAATAAAATAGCACAATTGTGTGATATTTTCATCAGATAACAGTACAAAGTATATGGATTTATCAACCGTACTTTTCCTTCTGGTACGAAAATATTTATATAGTTATTCATTTTACAGGTTTTGCACAAAAATACTTTAAACATATTATGATTAAAGTTAACGTCGATAGTATGTAATTATATTATATTAAAGCCAATTAAATTTTAATAAAAAATAAAACTAAACTATTTAATTAAATACAGTAGCGCAATCAGCGGATTTATGCCCCTGCTGTTCGAAAAATTATATTTATTTATACATACATAAATAAAAACCCAAATTAAAATACAGTACATTTGAATATTAAATTTGTTTTGTGTTAGGTATACATAAAGCTGATGGCATAACTAAATTTTGTACAGGTAAGGATAAGACCCATATTATGAAAGAATCGGTGGTTACACAAAAATCTTTTTCTAAAATTCCGAGTAAACCCGGTAATACGAAGACTGACAATGAAGATGATAATGAAAGGTAATCTCTAAGACGAAGAAATCCCAACATCCAAAGACAATGAAAACTCAGCGACCAAAAATACTTATAAAGGTTTTATTACATATATTCCCGTTTAAAATATCACATTAAAATGTATATTTATGAAATCACTTTTCAACATTTTTTAAGGACGAAACTCCCCCTCTCTTCTTCTATTAATTTCGCCCATGTCTCAAGTTAGTATTTAATTTCTCTCAATTCAAAATCCTGACTTCACCACTGGTTCAAATCAAAACATGAAAACAATTTTGTTTGGTAGATCGTATTTTATTAGAGGCCTGAATAAATTTTAATCTTCTGGCCTAAATATGGTTCCCACTCTACCCCTGACCACGTTATTTAAATCCATAAGGTAAATAACGTTATTGTTTTATATACAGTATGTCTCACTGTGTTCGACAGATTTTTCTAGCGCTGTTAATATTACATTTTTTTTTTTCAATCTGTTTATTTCTGAGGGGGAAATCGATTTGGAGAAAAATTACATTTTTTTTCATCCTCTTAACACAAAATTTTCAAAATAGCCATTTTCTAAAAAGTTTTATTCAAACATTTTTATTTATCACACATTCATATTCGATGAATTTCTTAGTTATTGTCGTTTTAATTTCTAAAAAATAGGCTTGAAAACAATTATTATTCAATAAAACAACACGTTATATATGATAAGGAATCACAATCGGTAAGTAATTCTTTACATGCTATTGAATATTCATTATTTTCACGCCTAATTTCTAGAAATTAAAACGTCTATAACTAAAAAACTACTAATCAGATATGTATGCATGATACATTAAAATTTTAAGAATAATATTTTTTACAAAAAGATATTTGGAAAATTTTCTTAAGTGAATAAATAAAGTTATTTTTATTTTTTGTGTATAAGGGATGAAATTGAGAATTTAATTTTTTCCCAAATCGATGTCCCCCTCGAAGACATACCGATTGAAAAAAAAAAAATAGAAAAAAAAATTTATACTAACAGCGTTAGAAAAATCCATCGAACACGGCGGGACACACTGTATATATGTGTATAAATAATTTTATTTTAACTGTTATAATATTGATACGATTTTCATTTGGTTATAAAATACATATGCACTTACATAATAATATAATATAATTATAAAACTGTATTTTTTTTTTTTTCGGTCATTTTATGAGATTTAAATTTAAAATAATATAATCTACCATAACTATCGAAATATAATATTCTGTTGTAATTTTTGCTAAAGTATACATCTAGAAATGTTTCGTCCCATAAAAACATCACCATGTAGTTAGCCCACCTACCTTTTCCAAAACCAATGATACTATATTTTCAATATTACTCTTTTTCGGCGTATCGGTTTTTACATACCTAGCCATTTCGAATTCAGCTATTTTGTTGTAAATTATAATTATTATTAAATAAAATATGTTTTTCTATTGTAATACATTGAATATTTAATATCTGTAATAAACGACCAAACGTGACACAACACAATTACCAGTTCCATCACAAATAATGTCTTCTATTACAGTTTTGCCACATAAATACAGCACACATTAATATTACGCGCGTCGTCCACATAGAGGTGCATCACGTAGCCACTGCGGCGATCAAATGGGAGTAGCTAAAATGGGAGAGGCATCATACGCGTCAGTAGAAGCTCCCACACTCCTTTGGGTTCGCCCAGCGGAAGCACACATAGGTTTGCTCACTTAACTTACCTATACTCTTCCGAACTTATACAACAATTGCAGACACCGTAGACGGGCTGTTGTATTTGGTTATCCTTCACATCCTATATCACTGGTAGTTGTGTTAATTGTCACTTTGTCTTTACCGTACATATAAACGTGTTTATTTGTATTTCCATCACCTCATAAATAAAATATACACAACATATTGTTTCCGATTGGTTCGAACAATCAACGCAAAATAAGGCAGTTGGTGCTCACCTTTTGCAGCAAACAGTTATTTTCTATGCGTTTTGATAGGTGATAAACATACTAAATCGCTCCCAATTCAGCGTTTCATTTCCACACGGCATTCACGTCTATTTTTGGTAAACACAATCACTGTTCATAATTACAACGAACTCAAAGGCATACGTACTCACTGTAATCACTGTGTGTGGACTTGCTTACCTCTACACAGTGCACATACGCTCACACAATCGCCGGCTGTACAACGCGGCGTAGTATAGCCGATTAAAATATGCCCTAAAAGCTTAGTGGTTTCGGTAACGAGATGCCAGAGGACCAATGTCTATTTAAAATTTAAATAAACCAATTGGTGTTTATATTGTAATGATCCATCGAGACCTACGTATACTTATATTTTGCTCCTTACATTTCGAGCAACGGATTTCTTGCGAACTATAAGCCGAATACCCGAGGTAAGTGATTATTATATATTTTTATTTATGTAAGTAATAGGATGGAAACAGAATGAATAGGTACAACGATGCGCAAGGGTTAATATTCAATAAACATAATTCGTATTAATATCGTCATAATATATATACAGAGTGATTTTTTTATCAATTATCTCAGAGGATATTAGAGTCATAGATAAACAATTTATTACCCTTCCCTACTCCTTCGATCTAAACTTTAAAATGTTATAACTCATAAACGGTAAATCTGATATTAGTATTATGCATACTAAAATGTCTAGAAAAATACAGTTGTCGCAAAACAGAACCATTAGATTTATGTATTGGATCTATATTACACATACAGCAATTTATAAATCTATTTTTAGTGGCAAAAAAATAAAAAAGATATACTACAGATAAAGTTTTCCCCATTTTAAAAAAAAAAAATCTTTTATAATTATTTGGAAGTGAATTTATATGCGCAAAAAATCCTTATATTTTAAGGATGCTTTTATATGCTTCTAAAAATACTGTAATATAATATAAAATTAAAATCTAAATCGGGGATAATTCTTATCAGATTTCAAATAGCTTATTCTAATACATGAACGCATTATTTGCATAATAACCCGTTTCCTAATCATAATTATTAACAGAACAGTTATGTTTCGCGACAACTGTGTTTTTATGATACATTACATTACAGTTAAAAGACGGAGACAGCACATGCTGGTATAACGTTTTCTTAAGACAAGTGTATTGTTAATATTAATACTCACCGTGTAAACTATGACTTTTTTTTTCTACTAGGCCAGATTTCCTCGATTTAATGCAACGCGAATGTAGACATATTCTAATGATATCTTTGAATTATATTTTTCATTGATCACATCGGTGATTTCTTGCAAAATTTTTAATCCTTTACTAAATATGTCTACTATCTATCTATTAATTTAATATTAAATAAAATAAATTATGTATAATTAATTAAAACGCAGAAAGTATGACTAAAGAATAATAATACTATATTTGACTTACATTTGCGTTCTGCTTTCTTAAAATACAAAACATCGCGTATTTGATTTTTGTTTTTCAATATTTCATCGTCAATTAGGTGACTGGCCACAGCCGGAATTCCACCACGTTTTGTATACATCGTAAATATGCGAAATAAAAAAATATTTGTACGCGCGAAAAGGATTCAACGAACGTTATATGTTGAAGTACGCGTAACTATAATATAAATAAAATATAGATATAAGTACAATAGTACATAATAAATTGTACACAGTAAAAAGTTGTACCTAAGATACCTATGATAGTATCTATACCCTTTATACTTAATATTATTTCATTGAAGAAATTAATAGTAATAGCTACCCTGAAATTAATTTTGAAACCACTCCGGAGGCGACAGGGATTCTATCGTTTTAGTTTAAATAAATTTTGGGATTGGTATTTTTATTTTATTGACAACGACGACTACAAAAGTCATGTAGGCGCCACGAAATTGACTGCACAGTGCTGCTCTCTAGCGGTATGTTATAAGCAAACGTTAATTAAATTAACTTTTGTGCACAAATACTTTCGTGGCCGCCTATTGGTGCAGCTTGTCAGTTGACATACATCGTGGCTCAACCATACTATCTATAATCGCGATAAGTGCGGGACTGAAAACAATATCTGAGAATACTAACTAGGTACCTATAGAGTATTAAATTTATGCCAGATACTGCTGTCAACAGTATTTTATTTGTAAACAAACCATTTGTGTTTACATTGTTAATTGTATTCTGAATAATGTATCATGCACACGTTGCGCGACTTTATTTTCTGTTACCTATATTATGAAATTCAGTCATTCTTTACAGTATTATTGATCGCTTACTTAAAAAAGTAGCTGCGTACACAACATGATTATTTGTAAAATATATCCAATAGTTCTTATATCAATGACGATTATTATTACTCTCCAAGACGTGGACGCCGGTCGACAAGCAGAAGGTGAATATAATTGCTTAGGTTTACATTTTTATACATATTTTATTACTAATAAACATAATATAGCTATTGTAAAATAATAATTTCTACATTTATTATTATATCGTTTAATTATTTTTCTGTTTCATATTTCGTTTTATTTGTTCGATTACAAATATGTTTATTAAAATGGAAAACGTGTTTAAACCGCGATCAAAACCAATTTTAACAATCTCATAGTGAAAAAAAAAACTAAAAGATTAGTACGCTTTTTTTTTTTTACACGAACTCAACGGGATCATCATCTGTCTTCGTCGTTAAAAAGCCTATTTGCCGATTCAAAATTATAAAATATAAAATTGAAAAATACAGTTCAACATATTTATTATCCTCTATTTAATCGAAGTTTTTAAACCCTACAAGAAAATAAAGTTATGAAACGAAAACGTTTGGTGATAATGTCACTCCTCGATTTTGCTTTTTTGTTGAAAATAAAACGTAATAAATAAAAGAAAAAGTGAAAAGCCACAAAGTGTGTTGGTTGAATAGTCCCCTTAGGACAATCGAAAAAATATAGGAATGTATAATTTGTAAAATGTGCGTTTCAAGTGTCCGATAGCTATTGAAATTTACTCGCTTGGAATAAAGACGAAGAAGAATAATAGCCGACTGTAAATATTTTTAAATGTATTAAATGTTATTGTTATTATTTTTAATTTTAAGATTGTCGAGGTGAGTCAAAAATCAATTATTAAATATTAATAATATTGCCTATAGTTATCACAGTCGTAATTCGAGTATAATTATTTAATAACTATTGCTTAACTTCGAAAAAAAATAGAAGAGGTACTGTAGATACATTTAAAAAAGTAACGTCCCCAGCATTTTAGCAGGTATCCTTCACATTACCAGGGAGGGGGGAGACTTTGCTGTAGATAGTATTCAGATGCGTTTTCAGGATTTTTTATTGGGGGATTCCATATGAACGTTTATTAAAAATTGAGCCGTGGGGCCAAGCCACCAACACCTCCTTTCTTATATAAAAACAACGTACATTAAATTAAAACATCTATATTTTTTATTAAAATATTGAATTTACAAAATGATATTAATTTTTCTTGATTTTTGAACTAGCACATCAAGAATTTTTTCGGGATCAATTGAGACTTTTCTATCTACCGCTACAACAATTTTTATCAGGCTGCTCAGGCAATTTACTTTTGTCTACATCACCTACCTACATCATCAACTTACAGTAGCTAGAATAGCCGAACAATTAATTAAGGTATTCAGTCCCCCAGCGTCCCCTCCCTCAAATCAAGCACTGAGTCTAATAACTAATTAATGGCTTGTGGTATGATTTTGATGTGATGTTTAATATTTGTCAATCAACTCATTGATCCTTTCAGCCGTTAAAATATAATAATAAGTGATTTCCACAGTGGTCTCAGCGCTTTTTAATAGCACTTAACAATCCACTACCTAATAATAAATTTACAGAAGAAAACCCAAGCCGATATTAATAGTTTGTCATACTAAAAAAAGGGTAACAAAAATATTGACACAGAAGCCTGTAACAATCATAAATATCTGAAAATCACATCACTAATATTATATCTTCTAATGACATAATTCTATCAATTCATAACGAAATTCACTTGACCTGACCAAATTTTCGGAATAATTCCAGAGAATCGTTATTATTAAATTTTAAAAATACATATTTATTAAGGTCCTTAAGACAAGTAAAATTGAACTAATAGAATATTATTACGTTGATATTATATCATCGTTCTCCAAATGCCTTTATTTAGAAAAACTGAAGGAAATGTTCGATGGAAGTAAGTATTTATTACGTGTACTATGTGTATAGATTAATAAATAAAAGTGTTTTCTTCATGAAAATGAATGAAAGAAATTGTTAAAAATTGTGTTTATTACGGATAATGATTTTTTTTTTTTCTATCGTTATTATAAGAAATAAAATGAAAACAGAAGTAAATCTCACTTATAATATAAGGGAATAGAAAATGACATATTCATTCTCAACACACTTTTGTAGAACTTACTTTTAAGTTTTATTGTAATTCTTTTCCCACATAAAACACCTGACGCAGATAAAAAAGTAAGGGGTAAAAATTTGAAAATAGTGGAAGAATAAAGCTTAAAATAATGATAAACTTAATAATGAATAAAAAAAAAAAACAAAAAATAAAACTCACTTCAAATTTCCTAAGAAAACCAGTAAACCTATACAACAAAATTTCCAACTAACATAACTATTGATTTATCAGGTTTACTTTTCGTTTAGTTAACAAATAATATTATGATCTATTTATTTATTAAGTATTTAATTTAGTCATATTTCTCTTAAAATATTAAATTTTAAAAGATACGCAATAGTAAACGGTTAGATATCATTCTTAATTGTTATTTGTTAATTCAGCAACATGATATTTTCTCGTTAAAGATTATTAAG